CCCCAGCAGACCAGGGACACGGGGAGCAAAGCCAGGGAGGCGGAGGGGTCCCGCGCCTCTGAGGCTTTGCTCTGGCAAAGCCTCAGAGGCGCGGGACGCCGCCGCCGCTGCGGCTTTGCTCCTGGTGCCCCATGTCTGCTGGAGACAGTCTCCAGCAGACCCAGGGGCACCAGGAGCAGCTTTTCTCGCCCCAGGGAGGTGGAGGTGGTGGATCGCTGCCTGCGAGCTCCGGGGCAAGAGAGCACCGTTCATAAGTGCGGATCTGACATAAGTGGGATCCGTGTAAGTCGGGGACTGCCTGTAAATTAAGAGATTGGAATTAAGACCTCTTCCTTTGCAGCCTAATTTTAATGCATACAGATACTAGAATGTCATGAAGCAATTCACACTCACTCTTGTCCTCGCTGCGAAATACTTGTGTGGACACACTTGCATATTTGTGATTCACTTTCATAGATTAGCTGGACAAGATTCTAAAACAGTTGAGAATCTGAAAATAGTCAATTTTTCCTTCATGATAGTGTGAATTGGCACCTTCCCTTAAATATTCTATCAGCCATTTGCTAATCAGCATTAGGGATATAGTCAAGGACTTGTATCCTTCCACCTCCTTCTGCCTCTGTTTCAGAAGCAGCAAGGTTTGAGGTGCTGGGGACAGCTGTCTTAAGTCAGTTCCCCCTAGCACGACATCTGATAGAGGTGGAGGGTGGGTGGGACCCTCAGCCAGGGGCTGCTGGGCCTGGTGCAAGCTGGAACTGAGCAAGTCCAGCTTGTGCAAGGTCTAGAACCTAACCCTATTGCAGCTGTGCAGTTTAAATGTAGTAGGAGCCAGACTGCCTGCCCAAAATTCTATCGACTACATGATAGAAAGCAAGTAATTAGCCAAGCATCCCTAATCAGCATCTTAGGTTGTACACCCCAGTAAGTCAACTTAACACACACAGCTCCAGTCAACGTACCTGAAGTCTACTGACTGTGATGTCTTCACTGCGCTGGACCAACTGGAGCACAATCTGATGTCCATTTGGCAGGACTTCACAAAACCCACTAAATTGACTTGTGTGTCACTCCCAGCTCTACTGGAGACATAGCTTTCAAAATTGACTACAAATGCTTAATTCCCAACAAAGTATTTTGTATTTTTAAAATGAATTTCAGGTATTGTTGCTGGTGGAGGTCGCATTGACAAGCCTATCCTAAAGGCAGGTCGTGCCTATCACAAATACAAGGCAAAGCGAAACTGCTGGCCACGTGTCCGTGGTGTGGCCATGAACGTAAGTGTCTCAGCTTTCAACTGTCTCTTGCACATCAGTTGAGAGTCAGTGGTACTTTGGCAAGAGCTGTTGGAATTAGGCAAACTGCCTAGAAAATGTACATGCACATCATATTTCTCTGCAGATGTAAACATCTGCTATTGTGCATATGGGGTAGGAAATTGTTGCTTTATATAAAGTAGCAAAATGTAAAATAAGTATTGTTGTACTCTTGCCTTGTATTGTGTTAAGTTTATGTAATTTAGAACATTCCTGTCTACATTTTTGACCTTGATGACTTTCTTCATAGCCTGTAGAACATCCCTTTGGTGGTGGTAACCATCAGCATATTGGTAAGCCTTCAACCATCAGGAGAGATGCTCCAGCTGGTCGCAAGGTTGGTCTCATTGCTGCCCGGCGTACTGGTAGACTGCGTGGAACCAAGACTGTGCAGGAAAAGGAGAACTAATGTTTCAAATACAGTTTACACAATAAAAGGCTTAAAAAAACCCTCAGTCTCCTGTGTAAACCTTATGAAGGAGTGACACCAGTCTGAGGACTCTTGTTAAACTTTTATATCTTGAGGGGGTGGGTTCTAGACTCTTGCATTTGTTGGAGGTATAATTGGGTCTTCAGGTGCAGTCAGATATCCTTTGACTAGGAACAGGTTTTAAAAAACTTCAGATCACATTCATTGTGGAATAAAGATGATTGAAACTGCTATTGTTTTGCCTCACACTTAAGGGATTAGTTGGTGATGGTTCTTTCACACAAGCACTCAAATTTTCTGTGTAGGGAGAGTCTTCTGCAGGCATGATGTTCTGTTAAATGAACTCTCATAGGCTGAAGATGACTTATAGACTAGACCCATTTGATATAACCTTTGTAAGAGGGGAAGGCCAAGAAAGTCCATTTTGAATTTCAGCACTGGCTTATAGAAACACTTATCTACCTATCCTTAATAAAACTGAACATTTCAGTTTTTCAGAAAGCAAGCATGCTGGTGTTGGGGCTGCAAGTATTTTCCTTCTCTCATGCTTCACTGTAAGGAATAAGGCAGTTTGTGGTGCTAGGCACCATGATTGATAGGGGAGAGAGTAAGACAGAACTAAGGCAATGAGATAGTTGCTCTTAGTGAATGTACAATCTATTACATGAATCAGGCACATACTCTCCAGCTGGGGGGGAAAAAACCAAATATTTGTGAACAAGTCCTGGTTGGAAATCACTTAAACCTTCAGTCAGCCAAGGAGCTGCTGTAAAAGAATGCAGGACCTCCACTAGACAATACATATATACCTATCTCTCCAATTTGCCCCTAAAGGTCTTCTAGGAGCACAGCAAGCAGTGGAAGTGTTGGTAATTTCACTAGTCACTCTTGACTTTCTCTGGTCTGGCACATTCTCTGATTTGGCACAGGTCCAGTCCTAAAGCAGCCAGATTAGAGAGGTTCAACCTATAGCAGGGCATAAAGCCTTTTAATCCGTAGGCATCTGCAAGATTAAATGCCTCCAGTAAGGAAAAACAATCAGTGTTGATACTAAAGCTAACCCCTAGCCAGCAGAAGTGTGGCCTTACAATCACACAAGCTGGTACAAATCAAGGAAATTCATTCAGCACTTGAACACCATGGAGAATTCTAGCTCTGTTTTTCTCTAGTTGCTGGGGCATAAACTTGCCAGTTTGGTGCTGGCTCAGTATTCAAAAAGTAAGGTCTGATCTCTCGCCCGCTGAGTTATACAATATACACATTGTGTATGCTAGTTTATATTTTTTAAAACCACTAACAATACAGCCAGGTTGGGGCTAGAGGCCCCAAGAAAATAAGCAGTGTTGTTCATAAAGAACTAAACTCTTAAATCAAAGAATCACTTGATGCTACCTGTAGCATTTTTGGGGATATAACAAGAAGTGTGTGTCAAACCTCACATGAATTCAAATGGACATTCCATTACTTAGCTGTTCTCCTTAATCCTGCTATGCCTCAAGAAGTAAGTGTATAGTACTGTCATCTAAATTTATTATGGTTTATTGCATGTACTTTATACTAGGTTTCAAGGTAATTTTCTACACTACCTCATTTTAAAAATGCCTTATACCATACTCCTTCAAATGCATGAAAGGCACTTTCCTTTGAACACTAATGCCAAAGTTTAAAGTATCTAAATAGTCCATTTATATTTTACTTCTGATTCAAAAAGGGCAAAACAAAACCACCACACAGTCCCCCCCAGCTACCACTTGAGCACACAGGTACAAGTTTCAGACAAATGGTCACAATATTCTCAGTTACAAGAACTAGCCTCAGGCCCTGCATTGTGGGTACATTTAGTTCATGTGTAAATTAAACCTGAAGAAAAGTGTTAGCGTCCATTAAGGCAGAGGAGGTAAATGTCTAGCCCACTCCCTTAGAAATGTAAACAGACCAATATAAAGAAAACAACAGCCATAGTGGGTCAGAACAAAGGTCCTTCAGTACAATATCTTGTCTTCTGTCAGTGACCAATGCCAGATGCCCCAGAGGGAGTGAAAAGAAATAGGTAATCAAGTGATCCCTCTTCTGTCATCCATTTCCAGTCTCTGACAAACAGGCTAGGTACACAATTCCTGCCCATCCTGGCTAATAAGTATTGATGGACCTATCCATGAATTTATTTTTTTCTTGACCTGTGTTAAAAGGTCTGGTTTTCACATCCTCTGGAAACAGATCACACTAGAAACCTCACACTGCCACTCATTTCTCAGCAAGCAGAAAGGGACTTAAACCAGCACTTCCTTGCTTGTGAGGCAGGTACCCAAACCTTCTGCCTACCGAGGAGTTTAGTGATCTGACCTAGAAACTAATGTCTAAGTGCCCACACAACAGACACACAATCTCAGAGTGATTTCTTCGCACGCTGAGAGTCATTTAGAACACAAGCAAGGCTCTCTCCCACCTGTCTATCTTGGACTACTCTGCATGTCTTGATTAAATTCTCACTACAAATCATCTTGCTGATCCTCCTGTAAATGCTAAAATCAGCACACAATGGTTCAATCAAACTAGACCGAAGTCTTGTTACATTTGCAGAGATGAGGAAGGAAATACTGTTCCCTAGCTTTCTAGATCAACCTGAGGCCAGCTCTGATTAGAAGTGCTTGAAAGAGGTATTTATAATATAAGTTCATTTGATGACAGCCTCTGGTTTAAGACCAGTCAAACCTTTCTGCTTAAGTTATGTTGGAGAGCAAATTTTGTGAGAAAATTAGAGCAATTCTATTGGTCAGTCATTTTGTGCATTATCCATTATTACTGCAGCTGGGTGGTAAGAGAGTACTCTCACTTGCCAGCCATTCCTGCCATGAAATCATAACCCAGTATGTTCTCTTGCTCTGAATATCAATTCAGCACTATGGCGTCAAACCTGGGACAGGAAGAGGAAAAGCAAGAACCAGGTTAAAAGATCAATGCAATACACATTGAGTCTAATCCATTTTAAACATTTACCTGGCATTGAAGTTGTTCTTGACACAAAAGGATATCAAAAGCAATCCACAGCAACTATTTTAAGGATCCACTAACCCAGTGTTTCTCAGCCTGTGGGGTATTAGAGAGAAGTCTGGGGGGGTACATCGACAACTGAAATTTGGAGAAAACTGAATTTTTGTTTTAAGTTTTACAGCACTTTATTTTTGTACTTTGACACCCAAAAATTTCATCTCCCGCCCAGCTATGATTGAATTGTTTAAACAAACGTGTTGCAATGGTAGAAAAAAATTGTGTGTCTGAAAACTGAAGGTACTGGGGGTACTTTTTTTTTTTTTAAAAAAGGGGATATTTATAATTTTTTTTAAAGGAGTACTTTATAAAAAAAAAAGTTGAGAAACACTGCACTAACCAATAGGCTTAGGACACCAGTACCATCCTGTATTGCTGAAGGCAGCTGCAAACCTATTTCATGTATCTATGCAGGATACAGTGCCATATTTTATTCTAAATTCACACATCCAGAAAAGGATTTTTGAAGACTTGAGTCTGTTCACTCTGCACCAAACTTACTGAGAACAGACACCCCTTTAATGCAAAATTAGACTGTATGGAAGTAATTGATGCAGCTTCCATTCTGCAAATAAACATACCTTTAGTTTATGTATAACATTCCTGAACATAAACAGCAAGTTTTAAGTATTCATTTAGAAAGACCTTATACAAATGTAAAAAATCCTTACTTAGGAAAAGTCAGGTCAGATACAGATTTCAAAAGTATTGTAATTCCATATCTGGTAGTAAAGGACCACCCAGTTACTACAGATGAACTAGAGGAGGGCCAGGCTGACATTTCAGAGGTTCATTCCAGAAAGAGAATGTGATGTGATAAAGTTTAATAAAAATAACTCTAGGGACAAAAATAAATCATAGTTCCTGACATAACAGGCTTTCTTGCAACATGATGGAATGACAAAAATCAGTGATGCACTAATATTTGGGAGACAATTGCACAGGAAATACATACTAAATCATAGAAGTGGAGTAGTAGTGTTATGCCTAGAAAATTCCAGAGACATCAACAAGGTAAGGAGGGGGAAAACCATACTGTAGAATCAGTATGGATGCAAATTCCAAGTGACAGGAATATTGTTAGTAGGGTCATTCCACCAGCCTTCAGGCCATGAAAAGGACATTTAAGCTTCTGATCCAAAGCCAAATAAAGTCCATGGTACTTCATTCAGCTTTGGATGAAGACACAACATATTATATAGAGGGAGACCAAAAGGGCAAATAGGTCTAGTAAAATAGTCAACAATGGTTGATTTCACAACTACTGCACAAACGACAACAGGACAACATACACAATCCCTTCTTAAAAAAACTAATTCTAAAGCACACAAAGGGAAAGGTTGTTTTCAATGTCATCTTAAAATAACACACTGTTTAGATCAAGAATAACTCAGCTACTAAGTGACCAACACATAATAAAGTTCAATGTTCTCTTGGAGGAATTATATCGACGACTACCATGATAACAATAAACTTAGAATGAAGGATTTAATTGTAAGTGGAAATTAGGAGGTCAAAGAAGGAATCTGAAAAGCAAATAGCCAAAGCAAGCCTACAAGACAATCAGCGAGTTCACTAGTCTACAAGGGAGTGAAGGCAGAAATTAATAGAACAAAGACTTCACAGAAAAGCAATGCACAATTATTTCCACACTGGATGATGGGCTGATGATATTCAATTCAAACCTGTCCCTTTCAGGTAAAAAAAGATAAAGCATGGTCAAATACTGCAGTATCAAAACAGATTGCGCTAGAGCAAATAGATACTCTAGAGAGCAACTGGTCACTAAAATCTGATGGTATGCAGTTCTGAAAGAAATTAAAAGTTACTTGGCTGAGGGTCCCGACAAAATATGCAAAACGTTCATTAATCACTTGCTATGCCAAGAATAGAAAAGTAACAAATTTGGTACCTATTTGAATAAAATAATTAAAAATAGAATAATATTCTCTGTAGAAATGTATGGTATGTA